ATAATAATAATAATAATAATAATAATAATAATAATAATAATAATAATGGATTCACACACTTCTTATGCAATGAATCACCGGAAACATTTTAACCAGCACAATTAAATGCCACTGCTCAGCAGGAAGTCCCTTTTATCTATAGGAATCTTATTTATTGCAGCCATAAAAAACTGGATTGATATAGAAACAAAGATTGTGAAAGGAATGTGTACTGTACTAAGCATCTATTTAAGTGTAATCATAGGCAGAATCAGTATACCATGTGGATTAAACTTTTCTCCCTACATGCTGGGCTCCTGATTCCCAGACTCCCTTTTACTATGCTTAAAACATCTCCTTGGTTCTGTGCAGACTAACTTCCCATTAAAAAAAAGTTGCTAAAGGAGATGTCATAGAGAATGTTAAATTAAAACAATTCAAATTAAATTATCGTATCAAGAAAAGTACTAATGCATGAGTCCTGCATCAGAAATGGAGAGCAATTTTTTTAAAAAACCAGGCTTGACAGGTCAACTATTTTCCTGTTTAAATGAGAATGAGCCAGTTTGGTTAGTAGTTAAGGCAAGGGTCTTCCAACTTGGCAAGTGTAAGACTTATGGACTTCAACTCCCAGAATTTCTGAGCTAATGTGACTGGAGGAGGAGTTTTGGGAGTTGAAGTCCACAAGTCTTAAAGCTTTCAAGTTTGAAGACCTCTGAGTTAAAGCATTGGGCTAGAAAACAGTCTCACCTTGGCCATGAAAGCCAGCTGAGGGACTTTGGGCCAATCAACCTCTCTCAGTCCATGATGTGGGGGATCAGTTGGTCAGTCAATTCTTTTGCAACTAATGGATCAATAATCAGTTGATTTGGACAAAGCAGACCCTGTACTTGCAGGAAAAATGCTAGGAAGAAAAAGAATCTCCTGGAAGATGATCCCAAGAATCTTAATTGCATCTTAACTCTTTTAATAAGTTTGTAAAATTCCCAGGGAGCAAGAGATTATATTTATAGCCTGCCTTTATTATTTTGATAAATAACCCAAGACAATGAACATACCTAATATTGCTTCCTCTTCTTATTTTACCCACAACAACCCATTGAGATGGTTGGACTGTGAAAAAGTGATTCAGAGGTGGTATTCATCAGGTTCTGACCAGTTCTGGAGAACTGGTAGCAGAAATTTTGAGTAGTTTGGAGAAACGGCAAATACAACCTCTGACTGGAGATTTTACAGTATCCTTCCCCTGCCACAACCACAGAACCGGTAGTAAAAAAATTTGAATCCACCACTGCAGTGATTGGCCCAAAGTCACCCAGCTGGTTTTCATGCCTAAGGTGAGACTATAGCTCCGAGTCTTTTTCTAGGCTGTTGCAGGTAATCATTATTCCAAAGTGGTGTTCAAGATTTAGTGTCCTTTATTTAGCCATGGGGCAGGCAAACAAGTTCTTTCTGTGATTGGTTGCATAGATTGTCACAAAGTTTGGTCCATTTTAACCTAAGTATACTGCCAATTACCATTGTCATCACTTGCCTAGACTTGAATCCCCCTTCCTAATTATCTACACTACAGGGAAGTACCATTTGGTTTACTAGTATCTATAAACACTCTTTGATTAAATTTCTTAACCCAATTCACATTATATACCAATAACCCCCTTAACATCAGAATAAAAAAGCAGTTCATCCCCAGGAACTTTCTGTTAGTCAAAAGCTTCCTTAAGTATCCCAAATATTACATTAAAATCAAGTTTTATAATATCAGATAATAACACCAAGAAGCACAGCATTTAATTAATTTTTATTGGTAAGCTATCATCCATAATATTATCAATTTTAATACTCATCTAAATTTGTCAGGATCTATTTAAGTTCAGACAAGCACAAGTAACTCCCAAGTCAGTCTGAGAGAATGAAAATGACTAGATTTGGGAGATACTAAGTAAATTCATGCTGATATTTTTTTCTGAGTAAATGAACTGAAATAATTATCAAATTGAAACATGTTATAAGGTGACACTACTGCATTTAATTGTATGAAATTTACAGTGTAGAAAACGTAATCATTTTATCCAGTAGTCCATGGTGTAATTAAAGTTCTCCTCTTTTAGGTAACATATATTTATTAAGTTTTTCCTCCCACCCCCACCCCCGCCTGCCTTGGCACTCAAATAGAAGAAAATCAAATCTGAAGTTAAGCATCTTTTCAATTCTGACTTGAAATGTAAGATCTGTTTTCTTAATAATATGCACGCTTCTCAGTTTATTAACCTTGTTGGCATCTGCATAATTTTAATCAGAGAATGGATATTGCTCTTAAGGTCTTCCCATTATTTGCAGGAAGGACCACACAAAAAGACAACATTTTAATAAGAAAGTGATGTTCCAATGGAACATACACTGTGCCTTACATTAAAGATGCTTTTAAATCTCCGTCAGACCACACGCCATGAAACTATGGTAATGGATATAATTCTTTTCTTTTTTTTGCAAGATTTTCATGTATCACTTCTTCCTCCCTCCTCCCACTACTTAAATGTTTAATAAACAATAAATATTAGCAACTGAGCATTTATTTCTAGGTATTTATTCCTATACGTAAAAATAAATTAGATGTAAATTCAGATGCAAACTTTCTTTTTTGTCTTCTGCCTGTCTGGCTGCTCACAAAAAACGTAATTCATGCGTTTATCTCAATAAGAAAAATGATCTCCCTTCTCCATCAGTAGATAAATTATAACAACAGGAACTATATTTAATAATGTTGTCAGATTGACCCAAAGGTATTTTTTCAGGTGGCAACTGGACTTGCTTTTCCTTTTGAAGACATTTCGCTTCTCATTCAAGAAGCTTCTTCAACTCTGACAGGATAGTGTGGAATGGAAGGGTTTATATTCCTCACAGACCTGGATGACTGAGATGACCTGGGTGACTGAGAATCTCTACAGACTGTTGTCAGATTTACTTCACTCTACATTTTCTTGACCTCAGTTGCTTTTGACCATTGGTCCTTTCTTCCTTATGCCAGAGTTCCTTCTCCCCAGCTGCTGATTCAAATAGTCCAATTTTTGAAGGGATTTCTATCAATAGTTCTTCATGACGTGAACTGAATCATTTCTGCAAAGTGAATTAAATTCTTTGTTCCAAAGGGATCATTAAGTTGCATCAAATCTTTGTTTTTTATTTGGCCTGTGTATTTGATTGATTCATTTTAGATTATTTCCAAAACCAAGATTTTGCTTTCTTTTATCAAGTTTTCTGTAAGAATTACGGTTGTAAAGTGTGACTATTATTATTCATGCAAACCATTATTCATCAAAAATAAATCTTATTTGCCCCCATGTTTCCTATTAGATAACACAAATTTCACTTAGTTCTGGAAAGTTACTTCCATGAACCTCGTGGCTACCTAAAGTTGGAATAAGTGGAGCTGTTTATAGTTCATAGAAACCAATGTAAGTTTTCTCATCATTCCAGGAATTAAGTTAAATGTAAGAGTGTACAACTTATGGGGGAGGGCACCCTTGAAATTTCATTGACGAGCCATTCTCAAAAATTGGTCAGAACACACTTTAAAGTAGTCCAGAACAAAAAAAGATCTAGGACAACAAGTAGATTTCTAACATTCAAAATTAAAATAAATTACCCAGAAAGACAGGAAATTCCCTGATCATATTGTACATTCAAGTAGAAGCTGAATAGCCATCTAACAGGAATATTTTAATTTGAATTCCTACAGTGCTGGACTTCAAGTTGTGCATTGTTGCTGTAATGCATGTGCAACACTTCTTCCATATTTACAGTATATTTATTTTCCCCCACAAATAATTGCTTCCAAATTTACTGAGTCCTCTTATGTTTGCTGATAACAATAGAAGAAACTATTGAAAACAAAATAATGCAAATGACAGTCTCGATGCATCAATACCTTTGAAAATTAGCTACTGTTTTCAGTTTGCCTGGTGAATTGAACCTTTTTTGCAGCTTAATCATCTTTTTTTTCTCCCCTCTCCAGTTATCACTTCCCTTTATTCATCTCTACCCAATTTTGCACTCTCAATACTCTCCTTCTTTTGTCTTCAACTTCTTCATCTAGTGCATCTATGCCTTTACTTCCCCCATCTTTGTCCAGCTTCCATCTCCTCCTCTTCTTCAATGTTTCTGCTAAATGAAGGGGGAGGAATGTGTTTTTGTGTGCATCTGTGCACACACACAAAATGTGTACACAGGTACACACAAATGGTGAAAGAATTGCTGCCACTTGTAGATAGATAGAGACCACTGAGATATCTTATTTTACAGGCTATTTGATTTTGGAGAAAAATATCACGGGTAGTTATTTCCTGGGAATATGTTATTTCTAGTATTTGTTTTATCCAAAGTTGCAACCCTAGGCTGACACAGTGAAGAAGATGGGATTTATGTAGGATTTTGTCCTGGTTTCTTTCCCCTACTCATCCTGGGGTTAGGCGGACAAGGAATAATTTGAAATTCAATATCAACTAGCCTTTCTGCTAATGCAGTCTATAAGCATCTTTCTTGGGTGTTTCAGTAGAATAAAAAATGCAATTCCATGAGCTTGAATGGAGTTTACCTTCAGTTTAATTCAAAGTGAAAGTTATTGAATAATTGAAGAACTAAACAATTTTTTTTATAAAAATCATTTTTGAAGAATCATAGGTTTAGGGCATTTATTGAAAACTTAAGGCATTTCTAGAAGATCCAGCTCTCCCTGTAAATCAATACATATGTATATCATGAGAAAGAGAGTGAATTTTATATGGGTCAATGACCAGTCCATAAAACACCTGATATACATAAAAACTGATATGGATTATCCAATTAGGTAAACCAATCAAACAAACTGTTGCACGTCTTACATGTAACATGATAAAATTTGGCCACACTTACGGAAATGGAATCATCAGAATCTGGTATTAAGTGTTTTAAGTAAAACTAGCCACAGTGACCAGGGTCTTTAATTAACTGTGAGGTTAACAGCTCACAATGAGTGTCGTCATAAAATAAATAGTATAGTAAAACATATTGGTGGATTCAATGAATCCTTCAACACATAGGCAAATCCTGAATTTAAATTGAATGCTTTTGTTTCTTCTTTTTAAGACCACTAATGAAACTGCAATGAAGCATGTCCCTTCCTTATATTATGTGTGAAGTGTATTAAGTAATCTCAAGGGACTATTTTAGCTAGACTGACTGCCGGCTACCTGCATATTGCCCCCAACAATCTGGCTCCTCATTTACCCACCTTGGAAGGATAGAAGGCTGAAGTCAACCTTGAGCCTGGTGAGATTTGAACTGCCAAATTGCAGGTAGCCGGCAGTCAGCAGAAGGAGCCTGCAGTACTGCACTCTAACCACTGAGCTACTGTAGCTCATTATCAAGCACGTTGTTTGTTTGTTTATATAGTTTACAGGGCGTTTTAATTAAAGGCAGTTCCAATTAGTTCTGGCTGATGTTTAAATTAAATAATCCCTTAAACTGGGGTTGAATATTTGAGACAGTATTTCTATTGGTGAATCTATTCAATATAATAACCCTTATAATAACCTATGCTCAGGTATTGGAATACGTGACTGCATCTTTCATAACATCTGGGGAGCTTTTTAAGTCATTATTCAGCAAAATTACCCACAGTAATACTAATTAAGGCAGCAGTGACAGCAGGACAAATCTTATCATTTCTACTTATAGCCAGTCAGGGGCTTGCAAGGTGACCCAGTCCCTCCTGAGGAACATATTCACATTCCTATGAAGACTATTTCAGGCATTTGTCAGATAAAACTACCTGAAATATTAGTTGGACTACAGCTGCACAGGTCCTGCGGAACTAAGGCATGATCTAGCATGATTATCTGGGAAGACTTTGATTCTATTGGACCTTAGGGTTGTGAATGCAGTGACCTAAGCATTAGATCTATGCCTCTATTGAATGATACTTCTTCTCATGAGATAATTTGCAGCGGTATTGATCACTGAGAGAAAAATTGTTCTATTCGCTTGTAAATATAGTATATGGTGGTCTATTCCCTCATCAAAAATTCATTTCTGGATTTAACAGTTCTGGACAATTGTCATCTGTCTCTAAGTTCTCTGGTCTCAGATCAGGATAAAGAACAGACATAGCATGGATTACACTTTTAGATATCTTTGGCAGGGTGTAGATGAGGGTAGTGCATCCATAGTAGCTTTTAATGCTATCATGATATCCTCCTGGATTGTCTTTGGCCCTGGGAATGAAGGATCTTGATCTTGTGGTGGCTCACCTTCCTCCTCCAAAGCCAATTCATATCAACTTGTAGGCAGCCTTAGACCCCTACATTGTGGAATTCCTTAACTTTCTCTCCATCTACATGAATTTGTTGGGCGAGGTCATTGGCATGGAGATTGTGAGGATTCTTGACTTTCTAAGGATTGTACACACCATAGCATAGCAGATCTGTACACAATGCTTTATTGTGGCACACACCTTTCCGGACCATAGGCTATTGCTGGGGGTTAACTTCACGCTCCAGTGGATTAAGACATTGGATGAACCTAACTGAAAAATTCTTTAGAAATTTGAATATGTTGCCATTTTGGCCTCTGATCATGCTGTTTTATATTTCACATTACTCTTATCTTTCTTTTATGTCTACTGTTATCTTGTTTACTTTTTAATCTTTTAGTTGCCTGGAGTCATATTTTGCAAATTGGTGCCTACACAAACTATCTATATGAATCCAATTAAATAAAAACTCTGTACTACTTATAAATAGGAAGTTTGCAAACCATAAAATAGACCTGACCCCAATGGCTGTTTCTGAACACTACGATTTATTGCACCAAACCAAATTTAGTACAGTTTAGTGATGGATGTGATCACTATTCAATAACAATCCTTTGTACTATGATTTATAAACAGCGAGATCAGAAGGATTTAATCTCTGAGCTAAAAGTATGCCAAATGCTTTACTATAATATTTTGTATCTTTCCTGTCTAGGAATCAAAGGGTTAGCCTGCATTTAAAACATATTTTGTAGAGCAAGAAAGTCAGTGAATTTGTATTTTACCATAGATTTGTATTATTATGCAAAGCAATGAAAGGTTACAAGTGAAGAATTTCTCAGTTCAGACCATTCAATTACGAGTGAAAATAGTATTTAAAATAGCCAATTTTCATTAAAAAAACTTACAGGTTGTTTCCAAACTAAGATTGTATAACAGTTAATATACAAAGTCTGATTCGTATTTTAGGCAAAAAAGAAAACGTCTAAAATGGTCCGGGATACATTTTCCCTCATTTAGTTTTGCAAGATGTCAAGAAGAAGAAGAATGCAGAAATCTGAATTGCCGTCATTACAGTGAGAAGATTTTGTCATTGCACACATTCAGACAAAAGTTTGACTAAAATATCAACATTTTCCTAACTGTCTTGCCTACAGTTTCCAACATGAACAGAGGTTTTCTTAGGGTTTTCATATGAGGCTTCAGAGCTTCAGACCCACAAATCCATTTCATATAAATCTGAATCACACAGCATCTAACCTCCACAAAATGGAACGTCAAACCCATCTCCAAAATCCCATTTCCGTTTTGATGTACACAACCAAGGATAACTAAAGGGATTTATATAGAAGATTTGTGAAAATCTGCTTTGTCAGCAAAACATACCATTATTGTCTCTTTCGTGGCTTGATGCAGCATCTTCGAGGTAGCTGAATTGTGTTTCACATTTCTGAAGTGATGATAATGAAGACGTGGTAGAATCTGAGAGTTTCCTGTCACTTCTGGTGTCTATGGATGGCACATCTGTGATGCTAAACTCCGATACTGAGCTGAGAACAATACTTTTCATAGATTTGTCATCTTTGCTTGCTAATTGATGTTCTAGAATGATGAGGAGAAATCAAAATTACTTGATTCAGATAGTTGTAACCTTTTCCCCACATTTCCCATATTAGTGTAAATCCCCCATTATCATAATAATGTAACATAGCCAAAATGACATTGGCTCTTATAAAGTTGGGAAGTTACTGCAAAAAAATTGCATTTTGCTTTTCCAGTAAATTTAAAAAAAATCCAAGCAGATTTTGGCCAATCATGAAACAATGATCTATAATAATTCAAAAGCATAGGTAACATTTGGGGAGCATACACAGATTTCTGGTAACCTGATACCTAACAACAAATATCGTAGCATCTGATAGTCAAAACCATACTCTATCTTGTTATAGCAAATGCCACTGTTTAACGCTAATAAAATACTTCTTTGACCCTTCAGATGGAATCATGAGAGATAAATTTTTTATCTAAAGCCATCATTTGATTAATAATTAGAAGTTTGGATTTGAGCTACATACTTGTTATGTTGCAAATAAATAGCCAAATTCTATGAACACCCTAATAACCAAGATTCAGATAAGTTGAACCTGAGCTTGTCTGTCTTTTTGCAGTATTATGAAATTTTAATATTTGGATGGAGTTTGGGTGTTCTACAATTCAACTTATCCTTTTTTGAGGTCTTCAAACTTGGCAACTTGTGGTCTTCAACTTCCAGCTAGTCAAGGCTGCCAGACGAATTCTGGGAGATGAAGTCCATAAATCTCAAAGTTGCCAAGTTGGAGACTGCCCCTCATTCTGAATTCTTCTGTTGACTGAACTCTTCATTACCAGATTTTGGAGTCAATTGTCCAAAGGGTTTTTCAGAAGTCATTTATGAGTTTTCTCATCATAGTCCCTTTCCTCTAGCATATTGTTGTACCAACTGCCAGGTCAGTGATCAAATGCCCAGGCTATTGATTCTTTTAGATCTGAAGACAAAAGTATGCCACTGAATAAAGATTAATTGCTTAACTGTAGCAAGCAAGTTAAACAAAACCATAAAGAAAGCATTTCATACGAAGCAATATGCTCTCCTTTCAGCTGTTAGGAGCCTGTTTCAAGCAGCAGAGATATCTCCAAGCCCCTTGGTGCACAGAGGCTCAAAGCTTAATATGCAATTTCAGAGAAGCTTTCTATTAAAGCCTAGGACAAAGACTTCAGGGTCCTGCTTCCATAGCCTGGAGACTGCAAGACATGACCTTGCCTGGTTAGTCCATAACTCTGGATAGGAAGAATGGTTCTGAAAATTAACCTAAACAATCTACATCTGTGTGAAAATCCCCCTTTCCCATTATTCATCAAGCAGTTGAGAAAACAAGCAGATCAAATAACCCAGAATGAACCCTATACTTCTAGATCTTTTTTGAATATGAAGGAGAAATCAAAATAAGTCATTAAAATAGGGGTGTTGAACTCAAGGTCTGTGGCCCAGGTGTAGCTTGAGGGGTACTTAGATCTGGCCTGTGGGGCTGCCCTGGAAATTGCGAAGGACTGGCCAACCAAGCTGCATTTTCACTGGTTGAGAGCTGCAGGAGGCCGTCACAGCTGAAAAGGGAGCTCAGGAGCCCATTTTTGCTGGCAGAGTGCTCAGGTCACCACAGGTGCCCTCAACAGAAGGTGCTCCCAACATAAGTGATGTCAAGCTGTCTACACCCACCCTGGCCATGCCCACCCCAGCCCCCAAGGTCAAATGCAACCCTGATGCAGCCCTCAATGAAATCGAGTTTGATACCCCTTCACTAAAATCTTTGAATCACAGTAGTCTTCCACATTGTCACTACACAGATGTTCAGTAAGGATTTTACTTATGCTCAAGAATCAATATCTTGTGTTATTTTCTTTAGATACCACAGGGTCCATCTCTGTTCCAGCCTGAATTGGCAATAATCAATCCAGTATTAAGTGATCTCTTGAAAATAAAGTTCTACCTATTTAAACCAGATATAAATTCCTTTGTTCAAAATGTGCCCCAAATCTAGCAAACTCATTCCTGAAAGATACACAAGTATTCAATAGTACTAGGATACTGGGAGGAATAGTACTAGGATACTGGAAGGAAATATACAAGAGTAGCATTTTCTATATCCATAGTCAGCTCAGTGTATCATGCTAAACTTTATCCTTCAAGTACCATTGAAAGGGTAATATAAAAGGCCTACATTTAACCTAAATTCCCCATCACAACACCATCGGAGGAAAAAAGGGTGAAGGGAGAGAGAGAAAGAGAGAGATCTGTCATTCAAGGGTTCTTTTGTTTGTTGAAGAATGCAAATAAAGTGCATTTAACTGTCAAGTTCTTGTTCTGAAAAGCTTCCAAAAAGTAATGATAAACAAGTTTTGTTACAATCATTACAACAAGCAACTTGCTATGGCAAGCAGATTTCCACTGTCTCTTTCAGAAAATAGTGTGGCTGAGAGAAAGCAGTGCACAGTTACAGGTCTCATTTCCTTATGCAATTAGTCCTCTGTTCAACCCCAGGGCCCACTTATAATTGTATCGTTCATGAATGCTTGCAGAGGGTATCTATAGGAATAAAATATTATGTGGAGTCCTTGATGCTCTCTGTGCTTGTTTGCAGATGTTTAATTACCTAACTAGGTAACATCATCAATTTAAGCAACTGAAGGATTTGCTTCCTATTTGTATACAAAAGCTTGCCCTGCCAGCATTGGTAGGGGTACGGTTTTCTCCTTGGTAGTTTCCTTGATTAGGGTATTGCTTTCTGCTTGATTGTTTGTCTGGTATTAATCCCTGCTTATCTGGATGTTGGCTGCTGGACAGATTGTGTCTTTTTGTTTCCTTTTTAGCTTTGTATTGCCTTTTTCAATGGTGTGTAAATGTGGTTTATTTCTATGCACCTATTAATGATTAATTTGGCTGAGAGTCAAGTTTCCAGAAATCCTGTAATGTTTTTTGGATTTAGCTTGGTTCAGAATGCTCAGTTTCACCAGTTAAAGCTAGGATTGACTATTCATGTATTGTAAGATTAAGAAGTTTCAATCATGACTTCTGACTTCTAGTTGGTGTTCATGAATGTGTTCTGCTAGTCTTCCGCCTATCTATCCTATATAGTGGCTGTTACAGTCCTTCCACTGTATATTGTAGATGACTCCATGTTTTTGTTTTCTTGGGCTAGTGGATGTTTTGGTTTACTTATGATCTCTTAAAGGGCTTTAATTGGTTTATGTGCCATGATAATGCTGTGTAATAATCTGTGCTTGTTCCTGAGATGCTTTGATGTATGGTCATCCTTTTCATAGCTTGCTTTGGGTGTGCTGCCGTGGATTGAGTGCTTAGGCACTTTATGTGTCTGCACTACTGTCTACATCAAATATATCATGACTGGCTATAAGCTGAGGGCATATACTGTATCCAGTATCTGCTTTTTTAAAAAATATAAATGATGCTGTGGTTCAATGGATAAATGGCCTAGACATTGGTGTTTGAACATAGATCTTTTTAACATTTATATTTTATTGTGTTTTACTAATCTAAGTGAAATGTTAATATGTATTGTGAATCCATGTATGAATGTCACAGGCTAAATGAATAGGAATAAGAATAGAATAGAATAGAATAGAATAGAATAGAATAGAATAGAATAGAATAGAA